TCTACCTTACAGTCCTATAAACCAGCATGGCATAGATGGTGTAGTTGGGCTAACGCTAATAATGTGCTAGCATGTAATCCCAATCCCCAAGATTTAGCCAGATTTTTGACAGATTTATGTTTGAAAGAGAGGTTGTCATATAGCTCAATTGCCCTTCACAGATCAGTCGTATCTATGTTCTGCCCACAACAGCCTCCCCTTAGCTCATACACGATTGTTAAACAGACCATTAAAGCTATTGGCTTGCGCAAGCCTAAGCCATCTAGGCGGCCTATATGGGATGTAAAAATATTGTGTGATTATCTTAAATCTAATGAACCTATCAGTAATAGTTTATATGAAGTATCTAAACGGTGTGCTATATTGTTGTTGTTGTGTTCTGGTCGTAGGGTTCACGATTTGACTCTTTTGAAAATAGATGATCAGAACTGCTTAGTTAGTGAGAATCAGGTGGTATTATGGCCTACATTTGGCTCCAAGACTGATTCAGCCACATGCCGACAGTCGGGTTGGAGATTACTAGAATGCCAAGAAAACAAAAACATAGATCCTGTTTTTTGGTTAAAGAAATTGATTTTAGTCTCCCAGTCCCTGGACTGCGGTAATTTAAATAATCTTTTTATTACTGCAACTGGTGTAACAAAGCCGGCTACGCGTATTGTTATAGGAAATTGGGTGAAATCCGTTCTCAGTGATGCTAGGATAGAAAGTACCCCCGGCAGTGTTAGGTCAGCTGTAGCTTCGGCAAATTGGCTAGACAATCATAACATAGATGATATTTTGTCCCGTGGTAATTGGATATGTGCGACGACATTTCACAAATATTATAAAAAAGAAGTGCTTCGTGGCCGTCAATTTAGTTCTAATGATTTATCTAGTTGTTTTCAATCAATTGTAGGTTAGGACATAAGGATGAATTTGTTATTTTCGTTCATTTTATTACTCCAGTGAATATAATTATTATTGATCATTACTCTGATTACATCACATTGATTAGCTTTGTTTGGCACATAACCTGATATTAAATATATATATTTTTATTTCCATAATTTACTTATTAGATTAAGCTAAATACTGATTATTTTAATAAGAAGTATTTTTCACATTGGCGTTTCTTGATTTTCCCCAGCAGCCGATAACAAACACTTCTCAATTTTAAAGGCTTGGAATAGGGGACAGAAGCTTAATTGGGAAATTTTACCTGAAAATAAAATTTTAATTAAGCTACTTACCCTATTCCAAGCCTTATTTAGGTCAGGCCGCCATTTTTTGCTGATTTTGAAAACTGTTTTCTCCGCGGTCAGTATTTTGAAAAGTATTATAGATATCGGATTTTCGATGACGGCTTTGGATTAAGCAACAAAGTGACTCAAGTGGACATTATGATTATTTCAGGTCAGATAATAAACAAAAATATATTTCGAATGAAATCTGAAAAAAGGTAGTAAAATTACATAAAAACTTCTATCCGCCGAGGTAGAGGTGCACTTTAACTATCGTAGTAGCAAAAAGTATGTCAGTTTTTGAGACATGGCTGATACTATAAGAATACTTATATTAATAGCTATCCGTGCTTTTAATTTAGCAACGTTTATCCTAAGAATTTCCTTGAAAATTATTTCAAATAAGTTTTCGTCAAAAACTGTACTTATACGCCAATTTTGTCAACGCCACCTATTCTCCATGTTCTATTAAACTTTAGGAATCGGTGAAGTTCAAATCAGGAAGTGGCAACACTGAGTTTCTGTAATCTGTGGACAGCGGCTTGATGAGCGGCTATATTTTTGACAGTTGACATGTGAACGTCTGGTGTAGTTTGTGTACACAATTTTTTCAAGGTGAGATTTTTGTGCATAAAAAAGTAAGTTTGATTGTTACACGAAAAACAAATAGTGCATCATGTTAGTAGAAGTGAAAGCCATGTTTGGAGCTATAATGCAACTCAAATCATACTTTATTTACAGAGATATAAGTGGTTTTCTCAACGCGACGATAGCGTAGAAGTAGAAATACGCCACCATTTTGGTACTTCAACGCCAACGGTAGCGTAGATATTCGTCACCTCCTCTACGCCACCAAATAAAGGTAGGTATCCACTCGTTTTTATTATACTAACTTTTTACCTGACTGCCGAAGAAAGGAGGGTAATGTTTTTCGAGAGTGTATGTATGTATACTAACTAAACCCATTCGTGTAATTTCAGCTTGTATTTCTTAGGCTGCAAGGCATAGATCACGGTAACATAATGGTCAGTGCATCTGCCCGGATAGCGGAGGGTGCAGTTTCGAGTCCCGTCTGCTGCCTGGACCGCGTGGAATATTTTTTAGTAAAAATTTTCTTTAGATTTAAAATCTAGCAAATAAATGCTTTAAAAAATAAAAATATAATAAATGTCTAGTTGATTATAAAATTGTTGATGTTTTTATTTACTTAGATATAGGGAACTACTTCTTATTCTAAATTCAACGAGGTGGTCCATTAGTGGGGGTCCATTATTAAATTGTGTTCATTATTAGATGTCCATATTTGGTGCATGTTCATCACTGGATGTCCATTAAAAGATTTTCCTTGTCCATTACTAGCTTAAAAAACCGTGTTTATATTTTAATGATATCTCTCATTTTTATGCGGTTATTTCTAACTTTTTCGGCATAAGCATAAAGGAAAAAAGACGGACATTAAGCTCAACATTGATGTTTAAACAAAATCTTGATATATTAGGAATAATCCTGCAAAAACCCACCTTTTCATCCTTAAAGTGTCCATAATTGGTGCAATTACGTTATACAACATAATTTAATCTTAATATTTTGGCTTGTGTATGCCAACCTTAACATTTATTCGTCACTATTATACGCTACTCAACGTCACCGACGCGTAGAACTTTCTACGCCACCAACACAATACTTCTACGCCATATCAGCAAAAAATGGCGGCCTGACCAATTTATATTGCTGCCTGCTGTTTAATAGACTTTGATTACAGGTTTCAGGATAGAGGTATGTCAATTGTTATTAATTTCTTAGCTATAAGTATAATAGTTGCAGGATCTTTTTCCAGTAGGTGGTGAACAGCTGATCATGTATTAATCGACATGCTCTCGCCATCGCCATACCTCTTCTTTGTGCGGCTAACGATATAAAAAATATCGTTGGGTTCGTCCATGGTAAGGCTCACATGCCTACCTAATGTTATCGCCACCAGTACATACTATACTGTGGTAACACAGTCTGTCTCGTTCTTCTCATAACAAGACGGTTCTGTAAAATTGAGATCCAATGAGCTGATCGCGCCAGCCGCGCACGGCTGCTGGATATTGTGTATGGTGGGGGGAGTGCCATAGATAGTAGAGGACAACTGATGACGAATGCGGCCGCTAGGGGGCGCCTTTGTGCGTGTTCATATGTCAAGACAGGGTTGCCATCTCAATTTTAAAGGCTTGGAATAGGGTAAGTAGCTTAATTAAAATTTTATTTTTAGGTAAAATTTCCCAATTATTGCCGCTTCATGCCCTAACAAAAAGCTTTAATTGTTTCAGGTATCTCAACATCCTCATACTTTAAATTCTCTTCCTACACTATTCGGTTTCAGTCACTCCTCATCCTTGTATCTGCACAACACCCTGCTACACTTTAAGCAGAGTTATTAAATTTCATTTAAAAATATACCGAACAAGCATAGAATAGACAATCCCTGCTACATACACTAGTCATTGGCTTAATCTTTAAGGAGCCAATATGACATTTAGAACGCGTTTCAGAATACCATTTAATCATCTAAATCTAAGTTGAATAACTTAGCGACGTCAATTTTAAATTTAGAGATAGTGGTGTCGATTCTGGCGTGATTCTCTAAACTTAAAACTAAATTTAACATCAGCCTCTCCTTTTCATTCTGTATAGAGAATGATAGGGATGCACTGTTGTCAAATTTAAGTTTAGCTTTAGAGAATCATGCCAGAATCGACATCATTGTGTCATTACAGAATACCAAATTGAATTTGACAGCTCTATATCTAATTTTAGTTAGTTTTAGATATAAATTGGCACGCCAGAATTGGGCCCATTATAGAAGAAATTGAATTGAATCATGGCCGATGACATTGACTCTGTAGTGTTGCCAAGTAAAATAATATACTACTGTTTGGTAAAAAAATACGAGTGTTTTTAGAGTTAATAGACTGTAACTCAATAGTAATTTCCCGTTGACTGCATTTTGTGTCCTTAAATAATATTGGTTTTTTTTTCAATATCCTGAATTGTAAATTATACACAGTAATAAAAATCACAATTCATTAAATATAGTGCGAACCTTAGTGGGAAAAAAATCTGTAATCGCACGTTTAATTCAGATGTTGGGAAGGGGGACACAGCGAAAACAGGACAATTCACAATTTGAATTAATATATATATATATATTATTTAATATGTGGTTTTAATAATTATTTAAAGGCTCTATTTATATAATTATTTACAGTGCCTAACTTTATTTATTTCAGATAGGACAATCAGTTTTTACGTAAACCTTTAAATCCACAAATTTAGTAGATTTTAGCTGTAGGACATAGAAATTTTTGAATGGACAGCATTAGGAAGAAATGCCCATTTAAGTAATATTTACTGTTAACCATCCATAATTAAGGTCAATCCCGGTGTAGTTCTATAAATTCAGTCACAAAACACCGAGAATAATAATGTAGTTCCGCTAAATTACAAAATCCAGCCACGTCTACACAGTAACGATGTCGCTGACGAATATCATGCGACTTCGACTTTTCAGATTTACAGCGATTCAATCGCTGCATTGGCAGCGCCAATAAATCGCTGCTAATATTCACGTCGACACATTGATATTAACATCGCCAGCGAGTCGTTATAGCGTCGTTAGCTAAAGTACTCAGTCGTGTTTGTATAGGTTCGTCCATGCTCATTTGAAGCATCGACAATACTAGTCGTGTCACCAAAAAACCATAGACAAAAAACCCATGTCCGTAATCTGTGGACAAAGTGTCAAATGCAACCTTACCAACAGTGGATTTCATGAAGTTTTCCTAAATAATTGTATATGTTTGTACTCAAGATTATATAAAACATGCCGAAAAATAAAGGAAAAGGTGGTAAAAACCGAAGGAGAGGCAAGAACGAAAATGAAACTGAAAAACGTGAACTGGTCTTCAAAGAAGACGGTCAAGAGTACGCCCAAGTCACAAAAATGCTCGGTAATGGCCGCTTGGAGGCCATGTGCTTTGATGGCATAAAACGTCTGTGTCATATTCGAGGGAAACTAAGAAAAAAGGTTTGGATAAATCAGGGAGATATAATACTTATCGGTCTAAGAGATTACCAAGATGCTAAGGCTGACGTAATCTTAAAGTACACACCTGACGAGGCAAGGAATCTGAAGACCTATGGAGAATTCCCAGAAACTGTCCGCATTAACGAGACAGTTGTTTATTCAGTAGATGGACTTGATGAAGATATTGAATTCGGTGATGAAGTCAGCTCAGAAGATGAAGCAGATGCAGTTGATGCTATATAGAACCCTAGCTATATTTATAATATTTACAGTAAGTCTTATGTAAATTAATTTGCTCGTTGAATAAACATGACTTTGTGATTTTATAAATTTAGTACTCTATTTATAGTTTAATTCTTGATGTCATAAACCCTCACATTAATCCCCAAAAATTCAAAATTGTAAGTGTTTACAACACTAATTGGTATTTATAAAACTTGAATAATTACTTTCAAATTAGTAAGTTTCCATTGTAAAATCTTTTATGTATAAATCATACTGTGCAACATTCCTTAATCCCTCATTTACATTAAGTCTTTCATATTTAAGGAATGTATATAATTAAAAACATGCTGTCCACAAACCTTGAATTATTATTATATAAAATAAAAAACCTTTAATTTTTCAGGTAAATAAAATATGTAAGAAAAACTAGTAGCAATTTCAAAAGGATTTACTGTGTAGCTATCTTATTACAGATTAAGACAAGCAAAGTGAAGCGTGGGGGCACTACCTACCTTTTATACCAGATAAACAAAATTCTTAGGATATGTTGTCAGTAGCAGACTTACTAAACATACAGTTTTAATTGCATAGGTCTCACTCCTACTTTATCTTAATTAACTTGATTGCACAACATAATGTTATGGTATGTATGTTAGTATTAGTACCGTGAAATAAGCCAACATTGCCTACAAGGGTATCTTTGCCATTTTAGCAAGTTACAAAGAAATTAGTTACTTTAATGCACAAAAGTATCTTAATATTATGGCAGAATTGATTAACTTTGGAGAAAAGTCGGTTATATTTCTGGCATTACAAAATCTGTTTGCTATATAACATGTAATAATAAAGTATTGTTAGAACATTTAAGTGCTAGTGCCATTGCTTTAGAAAAATAATTTTATGACGATGGGCAAAGTTGTCTAGTATTGTTCCTAACTAGATTGACAACATTGCCTGTCATCAAAAAAGGCCTGGGGTTGGCACATGTGGTTTGTGAATCTGAAAGAGTAATCATTATCAATATTTAGCATAAAAATATTAATTCATAATTAAAAGTAAATTAAGAATTTGTAATAATAACATCTTAGGTATTTACTTGAAGTCAATATAAAAGAAGATTGGTGGGTGATAACGGACCCAGTGCAGATTGGTGGGTGATAATGGACCCAGTGCAGATTGATGGGTGATAACGGACCCGGCTCAGACTGGTAGATGACAATGGACCATGTGCAGATTGGACGGTGATAACGGACCCAGTGCTGCTTGGTGAGTGATAATGGACCCAGTGCGGATTGGTGGATGATAACGCACCCAGTGCGGATTGGTGGATGATAACGGACCCAGTGCGGATTGGAGGGTGATAATGAACCCAGCATGGATTGGTGGGTGACAATGGAGCCAGTGTAGATTGGTGGGTGATAACAGATCCAGTGCGGATTGGTGGATGATAATGGACCCAGTACGGATTAGTGGATGATAACGTAACCAGTGCGGATTGGTGGGTGATAACGGACCCAGCGCGGATTGGTGGATGCTAATGGACACAGTGCGGATTGGTGGGTGATAACAGACCCAGCTCGGATTGGTGGTTTTTAACACACTTTTATTAGTTTCATCTGTATGTTTGTTTGTATGTAACTGACTCATTTCGATTCGATTTTGCCTAACTTTAAGCCATCACATTTACTTTATACTTGACAAATATATGTAGATTAGATGACAATACAAGATGTCTGATGATGGAACCTTGGTTTACCTACTAGTAAAAATATCGAATTTGGGCTCATTAGATTCGTCTTAACATATTCTGTTCATTTTTCCTGATGACGAGGACCTGATGATGGATTGGAAGGTGGTTGATGGACCCTGGACTGCCTACTAGTAAAATAATCGAGTTTGGGCTCATCTTAACGTAATAAAACTGCAATTATAAGAAGATTAGATGACAATACAATATTATTGTACCATCGAGCTGATCTGATGATGGGACTGGAGGGTGGCTGATGGACCTGGGACTGCCTACTAGTAAACAAATCGAGTTTGGGCTCATTACATTCGTCTTAATATATTCTGAATATTTAACGTTAAAGGGGGGTAATAAAAATGGTCTTGCAATAGTGAAGCCTTATCGGAAATGGAGAGGATACGTATTCAGTCGCAACAAACTCGTTCTATGCTTTGTAATAAACTAAAAAGAGAAAAATAAATTAATATGTAGTTTAAAAAACTAACAGCATGCTTTTAATTACTGAAATAAAAAGTCAAAAATAAACAAAATATACTCTCTGTTTACTTCATTAGGGCTTTAGAGTAAGCCATGTTTATATTTGATTTGAAGATATATATTTATATATATAACTGAAAAAAGCGTGGGGCGCTTCATTATTACTTCATGAAAAGAATTGTTGAACATTATGCACCACGTAATAAACTGCCTCACGCTTTTTCAATTACATACAGGCGGGGTCACAGGGGAAATATAAAAAATAAAAATCAACCCCGCCTCTCCCAAAATCTAAGGTCAAATTGAAAAATCTCAAAAATTTGCCAATTAATAAAAGGAAATTTCTACCTATGTCCTAACAGTGATAAATTTATAGTTTGCTGACATTTAGTGGTGTTTTTATAAACTACGTACGATGGCCAAAATAACTTGGAAATGACATCTAGTACTAGTTTAGAAACAAGGAACCGAACTACGTAATTTTGGTAATCCTAGCAAAATCGATATAATGGCTCGAAATGCTCCAAAACTCAAATTAAACCCTGAGATTAAAACAAAAAGGGTAGATACGGCACTAGTCTCACAAAAGTGATCCGCACAAATTGTGGTCCACGACCCTAATCGCTTTAGCCACAACTTGACATGCAAACGACGTACATATAACCCTTTTTGTTTTAATCTAAGACATATAAACGCCAAAAAGAAATGTTCATAATATTTTGTGTTAATATGATAAAACAATGCCTAAGTATGTTTTTAAAAAGTGCTCAAATTGCTCAAGAACTAAAAATAAAACCCACGGCATCACTTTTCATTCGTAAGTACTATAAAATATATTTTTTCATAAAATTTGGTGTTTGTTTCAATCGTATTCGGTAGTGACGTCGAGTACTGATCGCGTGATTGGTCGGTAGTGCAGTGACGCGGATCTCGCCGTCTCGTTCGCGCTGCCGTTGAAACTTAACGTGCTGTTTCATTCGGGTCGGTAATGCAGTGACGCGGATCTTTTTTGTTTGATGCAAGTATGAGCGTACCGTATCTACCCTTTTTGTTTTAATCTAAGATTAAACCTCTAATGGAAGCCATACACATTAGGTTTTGCATGATGGTTTTAGCCGTTCATGCATAACCGACAGGCAAGCCCTGGCGTGTATGTGTTAAAACTGTACAGTTATCGGTGCATGTACATGCAACCGAACAAATATCAAAATTGATATTTTATGCCGCTCGGTTATGTTTGCGCGCGAGCTAACCGAGCGTGTGTGGCGTCCGTCGAGCTTGCCTGTCACAGTTCTCAATTTTTAATTGTTGCGATGGCGGAAGGACGCGCGCGAGCATTATCGCGCCGTTTTGAAAATGTTGAGTCGCAAGCGCAATGCCACATTAGAAGAATTCATAGAAATGTATAAGTCGGAACCTTGTCTTTGGCGCGTAAAGTGCAAAGAATATCGCGACAGAGACAAACGATAGACTATTTAATGAAACGAAAGCTTTATAGTCCAGGCAACGAAAAGGTATAGAGGGAAATGCTTAGAACACAATTTTTGACTTCGTAACTTTGTTAGGACTAGTTAGGAGGTAAACATATCAAAAGTCCCCGCCCGTAGCCCTTAAGCCGGTGTGAGGGGGGGGGGGGGGATTGAAGGTCCCATTTTTAGGTTTTTCGCATATATCTCGGAAACTATACATGCTAGCGACATGAGACTTCGACAAAAGTGAAAGCTGATTAAATTTGCTACAAGTCTTATTCAGTCAAGTTTTTTGATATCTTGTATAGTTTTCGAGATATCCGCTCTTAAAAGTCAATAATTATGGAAAAAAATATTTGCTTCACATTTTTGCTCTATTTGACCGGATAACTCTTCAACAATGCCGGCCGTAAGGTTGTTGGTTCCACCAGTGAGTAGCATGCAGATTTCGGACAAGCCCGCCAAAACAAGGATGGAGCTGACATTGCCAAAATCACCGATTAGTTTGAGAAATTTCCTCCCTTCCCAGAGACCAGAGACATTATCAAGTCACCAGAAATCCAGAAAGCAGCAGCGGTCTTTTCACACCCTTTCTCCACCACCGCTCAAGTACAAAAGGCAGGTGAAACCTGCATCTTAAGGTGGTTTGGAGCTCCAGCGAAAGAGATTTCCCTCAATGCCTACAGGTACAAGTCATTCTTGAAATCAGTGGCCACCATCAAGCCTGATATTTCTTGTCTTCCTCCCACCGAGGGAGCAGTAAAATAGCATTCCCAGGAAGTGGTGGCAATTTTTTTTTTCCTTAATTACAGACTTTGCTGACTGAAAGACCGCTGCTGCTTTCTGGATTTCTGGTGACTTGATAATGTCTCTGGTCTCTGGGAAGGGAGGAAATTTCTCAAACTAATCGGTGATTTTGGCAATGTCAGCTCCATCCTTGTTTTGGCGGGCTTGTCCGAAATCTGCATGCTACTCACTGGTGGAACCAACAACCTTACGGCCGGCATTGTTGAAGAGTTATCCGGTCAAATAGAGCAAAAATGTGAAGCAAATATTTTTTTCCATAATTATTGACTTTTAAGAGCGGATATCTCGAAAACTATACAAGATATCAAAAAACTTGACTGAATAAAACTTGTAGCAAATTTAATCAGCTTTCACTTTTTCAAAGTCTCATGTCGCTAAGATGCATAGTTTCTGAGATATATGCGAAAAACCTAAAAATGGGACCTTCAATCCCCCCCTTCCTCCCGGCTTAAGGGCTACGGGCGGGGACTTTTGATATGTTTACCTCCTAACTAGTCCTAACAAAGTTTCGAAGTCAAAAATTGTGTTCCAAGCATTTCCCTCTATACCTGTTTTTGAGCATTCGTTGCCTGGACTATTAATAATTTTTCAACAATAAATAATATTACTTACGATAACATATAAATAAAACATTTCGATTAATGCCAACTTAAAGAAAAAACACTTGTTAATTTTCTGTCACTGAGTTGGTAAATTGCACACATCACACGAAAGCAGTGTTGCCAACTCTACGTCTTTTTACGTAGATCTACGTATTTTAGGCCTTTTCTGGAAACCTACTAACTTCAGTCCTAGAATCTACGTATTTTCTTATTTTTTTTTCAAATTTGTAAAATAACTTAATTCACTAGAATAAAGAAGAATATTTTCCGTTACTTTACTTAAAAACTATACAAATGTTTATTTCTTATAAAGATGTATCTAAACTCTCTTGTATCTTGTAGAAAAGGTTCCCGTTATTGGTTTTGTTGACTAAACTAATGCTGGACGCAGGATTTGTGAAAGCAGAAACGACAAAACTCTTTGACTTGGTAGGTACATTCATAATCTTAAAAATTGTATTTTTAAACTTTTACTACTATCTATCGAATTGATCTTTGCAAAAAGAAAAGACTTTCAGTCGATAAAGTTACAGGATTTATCAAGTTTTAAGCATTATGTTCAAGTGTAAGTATGTTTTTTCTCTTGGCAATTTAAACCACAACTTTTCTAGAGTCTTTTACCAAGTGTATCATGATAACTACTATATTTTTCATGTGATCTATTAGAAATCATGGTTTTATTTATAATATTAACTTAGCTGTTTATTTCCTACGTGCTTGCGAGTGTTTGTTTACAAATGTTTTGACGTCATAGCATAGATAAGTCTATAGACTAAAGAGCGTTTTGTATGTCTTCTAGGTAAAAAAAAAATTTTTTTTTCGTTCTGATATAACAATTATTAACAATTTAAAACATAATTCCAAAAAGTGTCAACTAGCCCATTTAACAACAGTTTATCCTTGTCATTCTCTATACAGAATGAAAAGGAGAGACTGGTGTTAAATTAAGTTTTAAATTTAGAGAACCATCCAGAATCGGCACCCACCAGTGTCTGTGTCTGATGGTAAATGTTTACCACAGCATGGTAAATGCTTCCAAATTTCCAATGCAGCGACTTCTCCAAGAACTCTTTGTTCTATCTCCCGTTCTTAAACAAATTGTATAACAAAATACTCGTTTTATTCGGTTTCAAATAACTTCTTCATTTCACTCAGAAAAAAGTACGTAGATCTACTTACTTTTCATATGCAAAATTTACCAATTCTACGTAATTTTCTCATCGGGTCTAAGTCTTTTTCAAAATCCGAGTTGGCAACACTGCACGAAAGCATTACTTTTGAGAGTGCTCGATTGTGCGAAGCGTTGCTGTAGTTGAAACACTCAACGTTAAGCATTATGCCGCATAATGCGCTATAATTGGAAAACTACCATATTTCTAAACGCGAAAATTTTTAAAGCTAGAAACATATTAAGTGTTTTGTCGTCTAGAGATATTAACGCACCCCAGAGTAATAAATATTTAATCAACTTTTATAAATACAAAAAATCAAAAATGTAAGATTCATTATGTGTTGTAAATTTTAATGTCAATAGAAAAAACAAGTACTTGATTTTTAAAAAAAATAAGTACTTGATTTTTAAAAAAAATCTGACCTTTGACACAATTTTGACTTTATATCGACTGAAGCTTATAGAAAAGTAAATATACCAAAAGGAAGGCTGAAGTCGTTCAAAACCTTAGAGGCAAAAAAGGCGGAGCGAGAGCGTTTTTAACTCAAGTTGCATTTTCTAGAAATATTAAACGTACTCCTGGGCTACGTTCAAACCTTCGGTCCAGATGCAACAAATGGCAATTGTTAAGGACAAATTTTAAGTTCTTTGGTCCAAATTGAAACGTCATCGTCATGGTCAAAAGTTGCACTAGAGCGTAGGTTTTGAACGCATTCATTTCTCTTGGTCTTACTTGTCTATGATTGATTATTTCTTGTGGTTATTTTTTCTAGATGTTGCCACCTTGCATCCGCCATGTTGAATTTTGTTGTGCTTCGAAAACATTGTGAGCACGTGGATTGTTGGACTAATTTTAGCGAAATTTGGCAGTAATATCGTGTAATCAGTTTTTTGAGTTGTCTTCATTTGCTCTACTAAAAGTATAAAGGTCATTTATTAGAAATCAAAGTAAGTACTCTTTCGGACTTTACCGGCAACCAGCATCCATACATTTTGTCCAAATGGTTCAGCCAGTAGGCACGTAGGTCACGATGCTATTAAAGTCGTGTCTAAACAAATAACTTATAAACATATAATACTTTTTTAATATATCTTAAAACATTATTGAAGTTATTTCGATGGGGTTAAAATTGCGTAACCTTTCATTTTGTAACCGCCTTTGCTTACGTGTTGGTCGTGAAGGTTTCCACACGCTCGTGACCCTCAATGTGTTACATTTATTTGTCGAAAATATGGAAAACACGTGTCTGCTTATTTTTTTAACTATTCATCAAAGTAATTATTTCGTATACGTGTCTACGTAGCGAAGTGATAGTAAGCGGTGACGGTCGTACATTCGTGAACAATGTTTTGCCTCGAGCGGTATCCGCACTCACTTTTAATCAGTGATTTGAAAACGTTGTCTTGATACACATGCGTAAATGATATACGTACAGGTTATTCAGTGATTATGATTAGTAAATCGTAGAATTTGAATTTCAAATTATACATTTCGATAAATGCGTGCTGCGAATATAACCTATTTATAAGCTGATAATAAAATGTATTCTGTGATAAAAAGACGTAAATCTGATATAATGGCATGGCTAACTGTAAGTAGGTCAAGCGTTTATCTAAATATATTTATTTCGCATTCCTTGTAATGTTCTGCTCACTGCAAATAAATATTAAAACTGGTCCAAAATAGTGAGTAATATAATAAATTTTATGTTTATATTAAATGATAAAAAAAGCAACCTTAGTTTTTCAAGAGAATTATCTTAGTTAATAGTATATTACTTATATTAGTATTTCTTTTATAAGATATGCATATTTTTAGACAGCACTATAATAACAAAGAAACACATAAGGTAATTTGTGCTACTCTGCTGTTTTTCGTTGATAAGATTATATTACATGATACCTACATAATATTTATATGATAAATAAACTTTGTTATTTTGTTTTAGATTATTAATAAAAGTGGCTTATTGCAATGGCACCTTGTCGTCAATTACTTATGTGGTCAGTACCATCAATAGCTGTTCTGCTGGGAATTTTTTGGTTCAGAAAAAAGCGAGAATATGCCAAGTCTGACCCTGGAGGAAGAGAAAAGATAAAGAGCTTGAAAGAAGAATTGGCTGAAGCTTTAAGTGTTGAATTTGAGGCTGCAAAGTGTTCCCCACTTTGCAAAGCAGAGCGTTCAGTCATAAAATCAGCACCAATTGACATTATTCCTAACGGAGGCGGATCACTTAAGTCATCACCCTTGCATTTGACTGATGAAGAAGTTGATTTAGAGATAGAGAAAATAATTAGAAAGAAATCCCTTGAGAAGGATAAGAAAATGTCTGTCGGAAACAGTGTTCAAAGTTTTGTTGCTGCTAATGTTTGTAATTTAGAATCCTCATTCATTGTCAAAGAAAATTTCTCAAACCAGATATCTCCAACTGACACTGAAAGTACTTTCACTAAAGATGATATTAATGATTGTTCCATTCTAACAGAAGCAGATATAAACATTGCGAATTCGAAGGATACTGTTGAAGATGAAATAGGTGTAGAAGTATCCCAAACAAATAGTACAAAATTTGACTTGGCTACATCTGATGCTGATACAAATGAGAACAGCACTGCAGGAGATACTGAACAATTGACTATTAATAATAATGATCATTCTATTGAACCCTGTGATAGTAATGACAGTGAAAATAGATTCTCCACAGCTCAAACAAGACGTATCTCAGAAAGGGATTCTGCTAACCATAGTCCAGTAGATCCAATGCTAGCCAGTCCATCAATGTGTCACTTCTCAGATAACCATAGTGAGGTAATTGTTATTAGAATTTAGTAACTGGATTATCAACTATGTTGATTCAATATTCTTCTATTATCTGCTATTCAATATTTACAAATTTATTAATGACTACTTAAGTTAATATTAACAATCTGATATTGTTAAGTTTATAAACTAAACTTTTTTCTTCAGGGTTCAAGTGACAGTGGAAAAGGATGCTCAGAAGCTGCCAGTCCACCTCCAACAAACATTAATATGGTTCCCTCTGATACAGGGCTTAGGATACATCAATTTATTATACCACAGACCCTGGTTGGTCTTCTAATAGGAAAACATGGTTGTTTTGTTACTCAAATTAAAGTAAAAACTGGTGCAAGTGTTTATGTGAGGAGACATCCTGATTCTGTTAAGCTAAAAATATGTGCAGTTGAAGGTATCTTTTTATTTATATGCTATTGAGCTCACTAAAATGTTTTAAAATATCCTTTATTAGTTATTCAAAATTATTTATTATTATCTTTATAGGAACTCAGAGTGAGATTGAAGCAGCATTAGACTTGATTAAAGAAAAATTCCCTGAGAAGAGGTTTCCTAACTTCTCACTTCAAGAAATTAGTGCTGAATTATATCAAAGGCTGGCTCCTTTAGTACCAGAGTTCCTTCAAGTAAGTATCAATGAAGAATGAATAGATTGTTATGATATACAGTGGAAAATTTAATAGATTGATTAGAACAAAACTATCAAATAAAGTCTATGAACATTAATGCTGAATGTATTAGTTACAGCTTGTGGAATCTGTGAACAATGATACCATCATGACGTGCTTGGTGAGCGCGGGGCACTTCTTCCTGCAGCAGCCATTGCACCCCACCTTCCCCTCACTGCATGCTTTGCACCGCCTGATGGCTGCTACATACCAGAACCCGGACGTGCCAGCACTTCCACGTCCAGTAAAAGGTATATAACATCCATACTACTCTCAACATTTATGCTTTTAATAGACTTCAAAAACAATTTTCTCAATTTTTAGTATATATCTTTTCATTTCATTAAAACACTCAGAAAATGATTAGTTGAAAATTCAATTAATGCCAACTACCTGAATTTTCTTTAGATAATTAAATAACTAACTGTTGATCATAAAATTTAGTAGTGTAATAGATAGCTAAGCAGCAATATCTCAATGCATTTTACAGCCGATTGAGGTTAAAATTAGTATTATTCAGAGCACAATTTATTTTTATTGAGCTTATGAATTGATAGTTCATATTATGGATTAAGTTAATGGATTTGAGGTTCATTGAACTTTTTTGTCTAAAAGGCTTTATAATTTAACATACATTGATTTCTTTCTTTCTGTATTAAATAATCAAATATGAATGATACAAACTATCAAGTGTGCATTACACATAGGCTAGCTTGTTTCAATAATGTCTTTCTTACCCAGAATCTCATTTATGTTTGCAGAAGGGTCTATATGCGCCGCGCCTACAGAAAACAACTGGTACCGCGCGCAAGTGATATCTACCTCGGAGGAGAATGACACGTCTGTCGTGAAGCTGGTCGACTTTGGCGGCTATTTGACAGTCGACAATGACCAGCTGAAGCAGATCCGTTCAGATTTCATGACACTGCCCTTCCAGGCAACAGAAGCCCTTCTGGCCTTCGTGAAACCCGCTAACAATGGTTAATTCATTCACTTTTTCTATGCAATGCGCTTCTATTATCTTATGCTTCCATTATTTTCACTTGTCTCAAATTATAATATTAATTGCTTTTCATGAATGTGTTTAGATTAACTTAGTGACTTTTTAATGTATTATTTTAATCAGTAATTCACAAAATTAAATACTAATTCTTAATAATCTTCAGTCTTTTGTTCAATATTATTTGTCGTTATTATGCTTTTCATTTTCGTTGCAGTGGTGAGTATCTAATGTTGTTCAGTAGAAAATTTCATAATTTTAATTACTTCCAATAAGAGCAAGCACATATTGAGCCAGTAGTGGCGACTGCTAAACGCGACCACAAGCTGCGGTCCAGTTTTTTCATACATGTTGTATAGCATAGGCCCAAACTAAGCGTTCGATTGGCCGCCACTAAGCTACTAGCGGTGGCCGCGATTAGTGGCTCAATGTGTGCTTGCTCTAATAACATAAATTTTCAAGTCAATATTAATCCCATTTGTTATTACTTCTCGGTTTTATGTTTTTTTAATGGCTACTTTTGTCGGATAGTGGTTATTATTTGATAGTAGTCAGTGTAGTGTGTGTAACGTGCGTTGTGTTGGACAGAGCCGGAGTGGAGCGGCGAGGCACTCCGCATCATGGCCGGTCTGAGCGCGGGGCAGCTGCTGCACGCGCAGGTGGCCGGCTACGACGAGGCAGGCCTGCCGCTCGTACATCTCTACCTCACTCTGCATCCACAGGTGAGTAAATCCTTCAGCGCGGGCAGTCCTGTACCCCTTTTTTTTGTGTCTGAAAAATGCTTTATGCATCCTTCAACCACCGGGGGAACGAGGAAGGTATGTGGGACTCCTCCCTGCTCATTTCATCCAGCCCTCGGCCTCGATGAAATGTGTAGGGCACTACCTACGCCCTGAACAGGGCCACTAAAAACCAGACAATACCCCTGCACCGGTCACCCGACACGCATTCAAAGGACCTTAGTCCTCCCAATGCGTGTCCAGAGTGCGGATGTAGTCGTGGCACCTGATTTCCAATTGGCCACGCATCCGCCGGTGTTTGTCCATTGCTGGACCCGCCCCGAGTCCTGTACCCCTAGCACGAACCATTATCGAATTCGAATAGTTTGCAAACCGGAGTGTCAATGTCAAAATTTGTATGGAAACTTGAACAGCAGCGGCACAAAGTACGTAACGAGAACTAAAAATCAGTACACATTTGACAATGACATTTCGGACTCGCAAACGTTACGAATTCGATTTTGGTTCGTGCTAAGGGTACTGTACACGTCTGCGGGATCTCCCGAAATACCCCAGGTGATCCCTGCCGTGGCGCCCCGACTAGCTCCAGGCCTAGCTGTCGGATGCGGAGACGCGGTGAAGTCCCTAAACGGGGATCTCGCGGTTCCGCACTTAACAGCGTACAGGGTATTCGCTGGGTTTTTTAGCGGATAGTATGCTGTAAGCCGCGTGGACTGCTTAACGGCTTATCCGTTTTGCACCCGTAAGACTTGCGAGGTGTGAGTGTGAGGTCCGTTCGTTGGTGTGCCCCTTAAGGGCGCCAACGTCTGTAAATAGAGGTTTTGCCTGCGTAAAAAACAGGTGAGTAAAACCTTAGACGCGGAAGAATCCCTAAACGGAAACCCCGCAGCTTCGCACTAAGCAGATTAGAGGGTATTCGCAGGGTTTTTTAGCAGATATTATGCCATAAAGCGCCCGTAAGAGTTACGGGGTCCTCAATGGGCAGCCACTGAGGGGGCTCGTAAGACTTGCGAGAGCCAGGTGTGAAGTCCGTTCGGCGGTGTGCCTCTTAAAGGCGCCGTCGTCTGTAAATAGAGGTTTTGCTTGCGTCCCAAAAAAAGGTGAGTAAAACCTTGTTTTAAGCTCCCGCTGCCTGTACCCTTATTAATTACCTACATTTTGATTGTTGTACGCACAGAACACAGAAAGAGGTTAGAAGGGCCATAGTTGTATGTGAGCAAACGCTCATAAATATCATCATCATCAAACTATCGAATGCATCAGCGCTCATGCCCGAGAGCAACTAAACTTTAGGTCAACTTATGATAATTTTCTCACAACTGTGGCGAGCCTGCCCTGCCCACAAGGCCTTTCTAATTTCTTTCAACCGGCGACATTGGTTTCTATATAAACGGTGCATAATTACCCTTCTGTGTTGTACTCCACACAGGATATGAAAGAGACAAAGCATGATCGACGGAACATCACAGTATCGGCGGCCTTTTCGCTAGGCAGCAACCCTTACATCTTCTAAACTGCGCAACGGATTAAAATGTTGGTTTTAAAAGGACGTAGATTCAAGAGAATGGTTTTATATGTTAATACAAGTCTCGCAACAATAATTGTTGTCTACAACAAAGCCCAGCGAGGGCGGGTCACTATTTAAACTAGAGAGTCGGTCTTGGCATATACAATGGGTGGTCTCCGAGGTAAAAAAAATTTAAAGTGGGTCACGTTGTATGGGTTTGTCCCACAGAACACAGAAAGAGGTTAGAAGGGTGATAAGCGATCGCCAGTATGACAACCGATGTCGCCGGCTCGTCCCCACTACACTTCCACCTAATAGATAATAAGCCAATCAAACGACGCGACATGAAGCAACCGAACGAATCAGCGCTCACAGCCGTGACTGTGAGCGTTCATTCGTTCACACCGATTATAGCGTTTGTGGTTGACACCGAGTCGATGAAATATTATCGATATTAAATATGCCAAGTACGAGTTGGATTTGACTTGATTTTATGGAATTTTATTTATCCTGTCAAAGTCAGTAAAGATAAAGAAAATGATTTAATGTAAAACGCATTACTACAGATAGTTATTTATTGACCTTGAAATAATATATATTTATGAAAAAGGCGACCCTTTTTTCTTTTTTAAAGTTATTTTTCAAAAGAAATATAGACGTATATCTATATATTTTTCAATTACCACTTTAATTGAATCTGTTACGTGGTTAGATAATGGGAATTCACCGACTTGACGAAATGATATGTCATCAAATCATGAAGTGCCAATAAACTTTTTTTATATTTTTAGACTAAAATTTCTTTTACGAAATTTTTCAAATTATCTGCATGTTGTCGTATTACAGTTTCTGCACTTTTGCATATTTTTATAACATCACTACCGACGGATATATCAGGCCACCTTTACCTTTTTTTAACGAAATAAATTTATGTTAAATAACTTGAATCTGATATTCCATAAAATTAGCAGAGACGTTAAATACATCATTATAAATAAAATGTCTAAAATCCCCTTCGATCCTACTTCTGCAAAAAAAATTCAAGGTCAAACTTACAAAATTATGGGTTTTTCTTGAAAACTGTAATTTTGGCGTAAAAGTAGGTCAGACAAAAGTTGTAGACCATACAATTCTCTACAAAAATGGTCTTGTCACTTTTTCTCTCACGAATGCACAGTATGTTATGAGACCGTAAAATCGGACATTCTTATTTATTTGATGAACTCTTTAGAGCTCATTTATACAAATATGAAAGTAAAACGCCCGTTTGAAAATTCGACGTATTTTTGAGATATAAAAAATGAAAAATATTTTTCTTTTTCTTTTTTAAAAATGAAAAAACAATCTTACTCTGTAACTAATAATATTTTGTTTAGAAACATTACAGTTCTTTATAGAACTCTTTAAACTACACGTAATAAGCGTTTTAAGTGCTTCGTAAACGCTTGCAGTTAATTAGAAAAAAAGATATTTGTAATTTTTGTTTTTATTTTTTTCTTCATTATACCATAATATATGCAAACTTTTTCAATCTCAAGATATAGTCTGATATGTATTCTAGTTGTATAAAAAAATCAGCTTTAAATTCCGTGGTATATTTGAGAAAAAAAATTAAACCTATTCACAAAAATTTTACGCGTCTAGGGTTGACACATTTAGAAGGGATAAATTCATGCCTAAAAAGTTACAAATAAAAATACTAATCGGATACCACCTGTTATATTCATAGTATTTAAAGGTCTAAAAATTGATATTCGGCGCCTGCAGTTGTTTTTAAATTTTTATTTTATATTAATGTAAATTTATTTTCAGTTGATAAAAATGTTGCTTTCATATGATAGGACTGTTGTATCATCACTTGGGTCTTCGACCTGATCTTCGATACATTGTTCTGTAATATCGAAATAATATCGATCAATAGATTAAGCTTTTTGAGATCCAATAAAATTAGCTCAAAAAGAGGGTCAAATCTCGGGAAGGAAGATAATAAGCTGATATTTTTTATAAATCTATGTTTTGACGTTTTAAAGGTTACCTCATAAATCTCATAATCATATAAGATCTAGTTTCTGCGTCTTAAGTTATTTAAGTTCGAACGGGAAAAGATAGGAATAGGGAGCGAGATATTAATAAGATCGGGTTTTTCATAAATATCTCGCTTCCTATTCCAAGGTTAAAAGCTAATTTTACTGGGCTAAAGTATTTTCCACCGACATTCGACCTTTGTCATCTCTGGCATTGTCTATAATCGAACACAAGATTCAATCTTAATATGTGTGATTTTAATAAAATATTTAAACCTCCAAAAGAAATATTGCTTTTAAAAAGTTATAAGAAATTTACAATTGTATGTGACAGCCTTGGTGAATATTTTCAGTTTGTTTTTTCTCAAATATACCACGAAATTTAATGCTGATTTTTTTTATACAACTAGAATAAATATCAGACTTTATCTTGCGATTAAAAATGTTTGCATATATTATGGTATAATGGAGAAAAAAAATAAAAACAATAAAACAAAAAGTTTTTTTTTTATTTAACTGCAAGCATTTACAAAACACTTTAAACGCTTATTACGTGTAGTTTTAAGAGTTCTATGAAGTATTATAACCAGTGTTGCCAACTCGGATTTTGAAAAAGACGTAGGCCCGATGAGAAAATTACGTAGAATTGGTATATTTTGCATATGAAAAGTAAGTAGATCTACGTACTTTTTTCTGAGTGAAATGAAGAAGTTATTTGAAATCGAATAAAACGAGTATTTTGTTATAAAATTTGTTTAAGGACGGGAGATAGAACAAAGAGTTCTTGGAGAAGTTGCTGCATTGGAAATTTGGAAGCATTTACCATGCTGTGGTAAACATTTGCCATCAGACACAGACACTGGTGGGTGCCGATTCTGGATGGTTCTCTAAATTTAAAACTTAATTTAACATCAGTCTCTTCTCTCTGTAAAGAGAATGACAAGGATAAACTGTTGTTAAATGGGCTAGTTGACACTTTTTGGAATTATGTTTTAAATTGTTAATAATTGTTCTATCAGAACGAAAAAACATTTTTTTTTACCTAGAAGACATACAAAAACGCTCTTTAGTCTCTTTAGACTTATCTATGCTATGACGTCAAAACATTTGTAAACAAACACTCGCAAACACGTAGGAAATAAACAGCTAAGTTAATATTATAAAACCATGATTTCTAATAGATCACATGAAAAATTATATTTTTATTTTAAATTATACTACTATGTAGTTATCATGATACACTTGGTAAAAGACTCTAGAAAAGTTGTGGTTTAAATTGCCAAGAGAAAAAACATACTTACACATGAACATATGCTTAAAACTTGCTAAATCCTGTAACTTTATCGACTGAAAGTCTTTTCTTTTTGCAAAGATCAATTCCATGTGAGTAGGTACTCATAGATAGTAGTAAAAGTTTAAAAATACAATTTTTAAGGTTATGAATGTACCTA